TCCTCCTCCTCCTCCCCTCCTCCCTCCCTCCCTCCCTCCTCCCTCTGCTCCCTACCTCTGCTCCCTACCTCTGCTCCTCTCTTTCGACACTCCCTCATATTTCCCTTCCTCATCCTCCCCCTCCTTATCCTAATTACTCCTCCTCCTCCTCCTCCTCCTCCTCCTCCTCCTCCTCCTCCTCCGCCGCTCATCCTCCGTATATCTAACTCCTCCCTGTCGCGCCCCCAGACGTGTCGGTAGGCTTAGCCAGAAGGGTCGGCTGAGATTTCCTCGCCTTTCTGGTCCTGAAACTTCAATAACTGCAAGAGCTACATGGATAGATGGATAGATGGAGGCGGTTTCAACATGCAGCCGTCGCCGTAACGCCACACGCATTCGTTTTTGTGAGCTTGCACCCGCGACGGGGATGGAGGAGCTCTTGGTCAATATGGAGATCTCGCCTTTGCGACGTGCAAATTCGCCTTGAAACACGTGCAGCATTGATGATGATGATGATGATGATGATGATGATGATGATGATGATGATGATGATGATGATGATGATGATGATGATGATGATGATGATGGTTGGCGCTTATGTTCCAAACTGGGGCTCTCGTCTGAGCGCCGCGTGCATTCGTTTAAGCGTTTTCAGCAGTTACAAAAATTGATGGCGGTTCCTTTCCAACAATGAATTCTCGCTCTTAGATCTAAACCAAACGTCTGAAAACTATGCAACGGCTGCACGGATGGAGGGCGGCTCCTTTTCAAAACGGGGACTTCGCTCTAAATTTCCTCGCATTGCACTACAACGAGTGTAAAGCTGTGCAACAGTTACGCAGATGGGGACGGCCATTTCTCAAAGCGAAGATCTCACTGGGCACCTCGCTAAATTCTGTGATCATTCATTGACGCACTCCGTACCATTCGCGAGAAAACGGCAAGCCAGCTGCTTGTTAAAACGGTGCTCTCGCCTAAATGGCGCTCCAATGTGGGTCTTGCTTGTAGGGACCTGTGAGGTGGTTCGGGACGGGTAAGTTGAGGGGGTGTTGCAGCTTCGTCGGTACTTCTCGCATTAGCTCTGACCCTCTTCTTCCTCCTGCTCCTCCTGCTCCTGCTCCTCCTCCTCCTCCTCCTCCTCCTCCTCCTCCTCCCCCTCCTCCTCCCGTCTCCTTGCTCATCCTTTCCCTGTGTTTTTCCTTATCCATCCATCCATCCTTCCGTGCATCCCCCCTCCCTCCTCCCCTGCCTCCCTGCTCCTCCCTCCTCCCCCCTCCTCCATTCGTGCCTTCTCCATCCCACCATCCTCCCCCCTCCCCCCATCCCTCCCCCTCTCCCTCTCCCGCGCCCTCCCGCCCTCCCTCCCTCCCTCCCTGCCCCCCCCCCAGCCCCCCTTCTGCTCCCTCTTAGCGCGGCCGCGCCTACGCGAGGCCGGGCGGAGGCGGCGGCGGCCGAGGCCTCGGCCTCCGGAGGGAGGAGCCGCCAGGCGGGTGGGCGCGCGCGACGCGCGCGCACGGCTGGTCGCTCTGAGTGTGCTGATATGAGTGTTCGGGCTCCCAGAACCACCCTGGGCATCCTGGGGCGCCCATGCCGCGAGTTCTGCAAAACAAGGGTTTCGCACGAGGCATCCTCAGATATTCGGCGCGCAGGGCGCATCATCCCCGAGCGGGCACGCAACGAGTCTACTTTCTTTAATGCTCTAGCATTTTTCGCAACCTCCAGACCTCGTGCTTTATCTCGGATTCTGCGCAAAACGCTCCGCACACCGTGTTTTTTTGGTAGCGAGGGAAAACGTGTGTCTGCGGACCCCGTTATTGATCGAGGATCCGAGATAAAGGGGCACATGTTCATCGAGCGGGCACGCGCGAAACGCATTTCTCAAATACAAAATTACCCCAGTGCGACCATCCCTAGAAGTTGGAGCCCCTTGGAAAACAACATTAGTTGCTATGCTATGCTATGTTATGCTATGCCATGCTATGCTGTGCCACCTGGTGCCGAGGCGGGCTGTGCAGCACCGCTGCACGCCTCACTCCGCCAACCTCGGGACATGAGCGTGGGCGGCTGTGTGGCAGGGCCTCAGGACTTGAGCCGAAATGGTTACGGAAGGCACTGCTTGCGGGGGCTCCGGTCCGGCCATCGAGGCTAGCTCGGCATCTGTCGCACATTGTTTTTGCTTTGCCTTTCCTTTGCTTTGCTTTTGCTCTTGCTTTGCTTTGCTTTGCGTTGCTTGTGTTTTGCTTTGCTGTCGCTGCTGTTGCTTTGCCTTTGCTTTGCTGCTATGCTATGCTATGCTATGCTATGCTATGCTATGCTATGCTATGCTATGCTGCGCTGTGCTATGCTGTCCTGTGATGTGCTGCGCTATGCTATGCTATGCTATGCTATGCTGCGCTACGCTCTGCTATGCTGGGCTATACTATGACATGCTGTGCTGCGCTATGCTATGCTACGCTATGCTATGCTATGCTGTGCTCTGCTATGCTAAAGCTCAGCGAAACTAAGATGAAGGTCAGCTAAGCTAAGATAAACCTGAGCTAAGATGAAGCTAAGCTAAGCTAAGATGAAATAAGCTAAGCTAAGATGAGATTAGCAACGCTAAGCTAAGGGGACGTAACTGGAGGAACCGCGGGGCGGATGCCGGGGGAACCGCCCGGGGCGCGTTCCACTGCCCAGCCCCTTTAAGCAAAGAGAGTAAGAACCCTTCTAGGCAGAGCCTAGGTAGGGAAAAATCATCGACCCTCGAAAGGGAAAAGAATATAGAAATGTGGGCATGGCAATGTTTTCAAGACACCGAGAAGGGCGACGGGCAATTGGGATGCTGCATGTATCGATCTTGATGTACCGTGCAAAAGGCTGTGATGTGCTGCGCCGTGCTGAATTGCGATGTGCCGTGCCGCGATTGTGCTCTATAGCGTTGTGGATCGAGTCCTCCTTTGCATCCGAGTCCTGACCGAACTGATCTGGATCTTAAGCTCGAGCTACCAGAGAACATAGCAGCTGCCCCAAAGCTAGTTGCAGTGGAAGCGTGCGGGACGTTCAGTCGACTCGACCTCAAAACCCGACTCAGCTCCGAACAGGAACGACACGACACGGGGAACAGGCTCACGGACCCGCCACAGGATGTGCCAGGGGCGCAATAGGGGATGCGCCAGGGGGCGTGTCAGAGGACGCATCAGGGGACGTGCCCTGGACGTGTCAGGGACCTGCCACGGGACGTGCCAAGGCGCGTGCCATGGGGCAGCCAGAGGACGTCATGCCAAGGGACGTTGCAAGGTGCGCGCGAAAAAACAAGCGTTTCGCTCGAGACATCCTCCACAAATCCTCATGCTAGACATCTGCCTCGGCAACCTGGACGAGTGAGACCAAGCGTCTCGCTCGAGACATCCTCAAGACCTGGGCACGTGAAAACAAGCATTTCACTGGAGACGGCCTCTGAATTCTGGTCCCCAGGATAGACACAATCTATAACACAAAATATGCGTTTCACTTGAGACATCCTCGACAAATTCTGCAAAACAAGCGTTTCGCTCGAAACGGCAACAAACGAAAGTGTGTACTTCACCATGTGTTTGATCGATTGGAATTTCAAAAAAGAGTTTCGCCATGGACATCTTCAACTTTTTGATGCGCCAGCCCTGCGCGACCTTGTTATGCAAAAAGTCTACTTCACACTTCCTAGAAATGTCTATGCCTCCAGACCTCGTGTTTAATGGATTCTGCGCAGAACGCTCCGCACCTTGCTTTCACCAGCAAAAACGCGTCTGCGGACCTGGTTATTTATGATGCTTTTTCGAGCGGGCACACGCGAAGCGCAATTTCCCCCCCCAAAAAAAAACTGTACCTCGTCAATATCGCAAATAATTCCACCGGCCCTCTTCAGGTCGATTCCGGGGATGCGCCTCTACACGCGAACCCTGGGTCCAAGCCCTTCCGGGAAAAAGTGCTGCTTCCCGAGAGACCCCAAAGAGCGAGGGGGCCCCGCGGCAACGTCGGTCTGAATCTCCGGGCTCTGGACTCGTTCCTCCTCCCGCTTCCTCTGTGCAACGCTTCCGTCCGCGGCTCACCTCGAGAGCCAGAAGGGAAGAGAAGCGGCAATAGAGACGACGACGAACGCCGCGCCGCCGCCGCCCGGCTCAAGCAGGCGCGCCCCGCACGGGGGGAACGAAAGCGGGGGATAGCGGATAGCAAAGGGTGGAGAATCAGCTCACGTAGCTAATTTTTCCAGCGCCTCCCGGCGCCGGGAGGCGCCCATGTATCGAGCTGCAGCAGCAGCAGCAGATTTCGTAACCCCTGGCACGGCAACGATGCACCGAACAAGCGTATGATTGCGATCATTCGCCCCGCATGATTTGCTGAAAGATTGCACGTGTACATGCATGCGTGTTTTGCGCTTCCGTAGCCGCCGAGGCTCGAAACTAGTAGGGACACTTTTCCCATGAACTAGAGTCAGGCAGTATTGCAAACATCGCGCACCCACAGCTTGAGAGCTCTTTGGTTTCATCTTTCCCCATCCCTCCCTTTCGTTCGGCCCGACCCGCCCCGCGTGCCCCCGCCCCGCCGGCCGGGGCGCGGGGCCGCGGGCGGGCGGCGCGCCAAGCGCACCCGTGGGGTCTCTGGCGCTCGTCGGAGGGGTCGAAGGTTGGCGGGCAGGTTCTTTCGTGGGAGGCGGGGATTTATCCATATCCACCACCAGGGAACCGACGTCCTGGTGCCCCAGCGTGCGGTGGATGTGGATATATCTAGATATGTGTATATATACATATATACATTACCCCTAGCGGCTGCACGCTTACCCAGAGCTCAACTTAGGAGCGTGGTCGGTCGGACTGGCGGTAGCCATCCAGACCATTCACATCTTTCATTTTCACTCGCACGGACGCCCGATCGCACGGGCGCTAAGTTCTGCAGCACTTCAGTCGGAATTCGTGAATTCAACAGAACAGAATCATGTTGACAAGGCCGAGATCGAGGAGACTCCACTCCCATATCTGCCCATAAGGCATCTGGCGAAGCCGGCTTCAGCATTTCCGAAGAGCCCGAAGGAGTTTGACCGGAAACTCTCTCTCCGCAACCGAAGCTTTTCCCTGCTGCTCAGGCGTCATCTTGTGTACTTGCCGAAGGATTTTGCCGTGCTTCGAATACCTCACCACACTTTGAGCATGGGCCCACTGGCCGCGCTTCTGGATCTGGTCGAGCGTCGCCAGGCCCATATACATGTCATGCGAAGCTCCGGCATGCCGAACTCCGTGAGGCGAGATGTCCAGATCGGTGAGGCCCAGGTCGAACGCGGCCCGGCGAAACAGGGCCTCATACTTGGAGAGAGTCATGTCGAACATGTAGGGAGCCGCGCCGCCTGCACGGCACCAGAGGCCAACCGCCTCCGCAACCCAGGACCGCTGCAGCTCACCGATCACCACTGTCCCGTCCACCACCCCTGTCTTGGTGGGCGCTGCGTGCTCGGCCTCACCCAGAAGCAGCGCCCAGGCCCGCGCGTAGCGCCGGCCAGCCCGGGGCGCAGGCGGCAGCACTGAGGACAGGAGCAGCGACACGGCTTCGTCCGGCCTCAGGTAGCAGTCGAACTGCAGGACCAGGCACACCGCGGCACCGACCAGGCCCGTGCCCAGGAAGTACAGGCCGATCAGGCAGACGACGCCGAAGGGGATGGGGTCGCGGACTCGTTGAGGAGCCCGAGTGGTCCATCCACGAAGCGCCCTCGACGCCTTCGGGAAGAGGTTGGCTTTGTTCCGATCCAGGTGCGTCTCGAAGTGAATGTAGCCGTAGAGAACGTTGCGGCCTTCTGCGGGACCAGACCCCTCGAAGTACAGGTCGGTGAAGTAGTGCTCCATCGCCGAGTCCGTGGAGCTGAAGCTACCCAGGTCGTAGTGCTTCGACTTCGCCCAGCCCCTGAACTTGCCGAGCGCGTCTGAGTAGAGCCGCTTCGTGGAGTCACGGATGGTCCCGAGCCGCGGGAAATTGTCACGCGCCGCTGGCGGGACCCGCGCCCTGCGCGCCGCCGCCAGCCGCTCCTTCTCCTCGCCGACAGCCGCACGGCCCTGCTGCCGCTGCGGCGGCCTCAGGGCCGCCTTGATGACCCCGCGCGCCGCCGAACTCGACGACGTGGCGCGCGAGGAAGTGCTGCCCGCGGCTCTCGGCGTCAGCCCCGCCGTGAGCCTCGCCGAGTTTCGCTGCAGCCCCATGCACCCGCGGCACCAGCGCCTCCAGCTCCGTGTCCCGCTCAGAGGCGAGCGGCTCGGAGTCGCCGAAGGCCTGAGGAGGCGCCGCCGAGCATAGCGCGGCAGCCCACTCTCGGCAAAGGGCGGGTGAGTAGGCGCCAGCCTTGAGCCCACCCTGCAGAGGCTCATGACGGTGTGACCCATCACATCTTCTCCCCAGAACGTCCAGACAGATGGCGTTGGTGAAGATGGTGGTCGGTTTGCGAACATTTTCTCCGAATCCACAAAGATCAAACGAGACATATCGGGCGTCTGGCAGACTGGCAAGGACAGCAAGGGGCTCGAAGCGAAACAACTTCGAGCTGGCAGGATTCTCCAGCGACCACAACACACCGCAGCGGTCACACCCTTTGATGACCTCAGCTGTGAAGAGCGCCATGTCGACAGAAACGGCTTCCAACCGCTGCGCCCGCTCAGTGTTATAAGGCGTGGAGCGGGCAACTGACCAGGCGGAGCATGCTGTCCCCAAGTGTACGTACCAGACCTTCCCGCTCCGAATCCAGCGCAGCACAGCACGCTGCGTCGATCGACGTGACAGATCATATCGGGCGGAGCGCTTGATCTCGGCGCCCGGCAGAACCCGCAGCCCCTGGCGCTTGAGGGAGGCGCTGAGCCGGCCCGTGCCCGCAAAGAGCTCGAGCGCGGCCTGGGCTGCCCGGGGCGCGCCATGATGTCGGGGCGCGCCCAGGCGGCGGCCTCCCGTCCGCCGAGGGGCCACGGGCGCTCCGCCTTCGAGTCTCGTGGGCACCAGCACTCGAGGGACGCGGGGGCGACGGGAGCCCTCGTCCGCGTGGTTCCTGTCCGTGCGGATGTGGCGAACCCGCCAAGCCACGCAGCCGGCAATCTGGTATGCCGCAGCGCGTCGGCACAGCGCGTTGAGCGCCCAGCTCGACGAGCGGCCGCGGTCGAACACCACGGCGGACGCGAGGTTGTCCGACAGGGTGAGCAGCCGGCGGTGGCAGCCCCGTCTGGTCCGCAAGCTACGGCGGAGACCCATGAGACAGACCCTAGCCTCCTTGACGTTGATGCGTTCCTGCCTCCAGTGCCAGAAGCCTTCCACCAGCGTGTGCCAGCGCCGCTTATTGTCCCAGCAGGCGCCGACCACGGGGATGGCCTCGAAGCCTTCCACCTCCTCGCGCGGCGCAGCCCCTCGGGCCGTGCGCCGCCGTCCGCGTCGCCCGGGGCGGGCCCCCGCCTCGGCAGTGCGGGCCGCCTCGGTGGCCCACTGCGCCAGGCGGGTCCGGGCCCCCAGCGGCTCCCAGGCGGTCCTGCCCACGACGTGCGGCTCGCCGAACGCCTCCACCTGCTCGGGGTCGTCGCCGTCGAAGCAGACCCCGAACGCTGCGCCCAGTGCCCCCAGGGTCGGGCGCGGTGGCGGAGGCAGCGGCGGCGCGGCCTTGAACCTCCAGCGCTCTCTCCACTTGAAGTCCTCCAGCAGCTCGTCGCCTGTGCCCCTCGTCTCCATGAGGGCGTAGCCGTAATCCGACGAGTCGCCGAGGTAGACCGACGAGTTGAACGGGGCGTCCAGCTCGACCTCGCAGGTGAAGACCAGGTTGGACATGAGCCACAGCTCCCGCCGCACACCTCGCCACGGGCGGCCCGACCTCTCCTTGCGGGCCGCGACGTAGGCGTAGCTCTGCGAGAGGATCGACAGCAGCGGCCGGCCGAGCCCACACATGTGAGCGGCGTGGCCCAGCCAGATCTCGAGCTGCCACCCTGCCACCACGCGGCGGCGCAGCAGTGCCACAGTCGCCAGCTTGAAGCGCCAGAGGCGGGCAGACCGATGCCGTAGGCGGCGACCCGGCCCGTCGAACTGCAGCCCGAGCGCCTCGAGGTAGGGGCTGCAGGGGACCTCGTCGTGGAGGTCGAGGCCGAAGGCGGCACGCTGCGCACGGAAGTCCTGGTGCGCCTGCTCCGCGTCCGCCGCGCCATGCCCCAGCCCCGTGTGGTTGCCCACGTAGACGGCGTGGACGGGTCGGCCGGGGACCAGGCGAGGGGCCGGAGCCCGCTCTCGGAGCAGGCTGCCCCAGCCCTCGGCAGCCACGGCTGCCGCGCGGGAAGCCACCGCCTCGCTGCAGAAGTAGAGGGCCCACGACCATCCCATGGGCATGGCCCCCATGCATAGGTAGAAGGACTCGTGCTTAGCCAGCTCCACGTCCACGCCCAGCTCGGGGTCGAACACCTTGGTGATGCCAAAACTCCCCTTGCCGAACGACTCGTCGATCCCGAACCAGTCGGCCACCTCGACGATGCTGAACTGGTAGAAGCCGTCGCGCACGTCGGCGCCGCTCTGGTGGAAGTCCAGGGCTGGGACGCCGCCTGCACCAGGCAGAACACAATGAGAAGCCATCTCCGCCGCCACGTCCGCGAACTCGGCAAGGTTGAGCTCCGCGAATGACTGCGCGGTGCCAAGCTGCGTGGTGGGCGGCGGCTTGTGGCAGGCATTAGGGTAGCGAGCGTCCACGATGAGGCGAATGGCCCCCTCCTTCTTCTTGACGAAGAAGAGTCCGATGCGGCCCTTGAGGCGCCTCCTGGGCACCAGGATGCCCGAAGAAAGGAGGCGCTCGAACAACTCGTGCAGGGCTCGCTTGTTGCGCCGCAGCACGGGGTCCCAGTAGGGCTTGGGCGAGGGCTCGGAGGCGAACTTGGCCTCGATCTCCTCGGCGGACAGCTCGATGCACGTCTTGTAGCGTCGGAGCCTCTGCGCTGCCTGTGGTGGCAGCAGCGCTCTCGCATCCTTGGGTTCCACCACTCCCTTGGCCACTCGCAGCTTGGCTGGATCATAACTGGCAAGGGGACGTGGCTCTTGACCGTACAGGTCTTTCGTCTTGAAGAGCTCCTGGAGGGCTCTGCTTGGAGAGAGTCCGTCGGGGACCAGGCCTGCACGCCCCGCCCGATCCTCGAGGCTCGCCAACATCTCACGCTGGACTGCTGTAGGAGTCGAACTCGCCAGCGGAGAACGTCGAAAGTGCGAATTGTTTGCTTGAGCGGCCGCCAGTTGGTTGACACCAAGTACTGTATCTCTAACAAGCCTTTGCCGCGTCGTGGAGCGCCACCACCTCTGCTGCACATAGTGAGGGGCCCCACGAGGATATTGCCGAACGTCAGGCACAGGAAGAGGAAAGGGACCTCCGTGCCTCCACTCCCCGCCAGGCCACCAGTCGGCTTTGGTGACCCGCGGGCCGTCGGGCGCCATCTAGCCCGGCAGAGGGGCCTCGGCTCCTTGGCCTCCAGCCCCTCTGCGTTTGCCCTTCGCATCACTGCCCTTTGGCCCCTTGGGGCCGCGCCGCCTCTCCCGCTCGTTCCTGGTCTCCTCCTTGTACACCCTCGACTGCTGGAGGATGTTCGCTCTCTCCTTCTGTCGGTCGGACACCCAGGCGCGGAACCTCGGCGCCCGCGCGGCGCCGTCAGTCCCCACAGCGCCGTCAGCGATGACCCCGAGCCCGCTGAAGTCTGGATCCCGGGGGTCGCGCGCCACGGCCATCTCCAGCATGACGACCCGCCTCGCGAGGAGTTCGAACGAGGCCAGGTTGCTGATGTCCACCTGGTCGACGCTGGTGGCCACGCGCAACATTTCCATGGCATTCTTGTGCTCATAGGCGATGGCGCTGTTCTGGTTGACGCCCGACAGCCTGATCCACTCTGCGTGATAGGACGTCGGATTCCCTGCACCTTCTCGGATCGAGGCCGCGAGCTCCTTGCACACTCGCGGTCCCTCGAACCTCCACTCGGGCATGTCACTTTCCCGCAGCATGCCGACGGCATCCGTCCACCCGAGGTGCCGCGTGCCGTCCGCCGCCGTGTGGATGCCCAAGCTCCTGATGTCCTCAGCCCCGACACGACGCTGCTCGGACCACTTCGCCAATCGGGCGCGGCAGACCTTCTCGACTCCGCGAGCCGCGCCCTCACGTCGCACCAGGCCGCGGTTGCCCAGCTCCACGAACTCGTCCCCCTCGAGGACGTCTGCGGCGACGAGCGTCCCGAACGACGGGTCGTCGAGGTCTGCGTAGACCCACTCCTCGGCGTCCATGGCCTCGTCCTCGTCGCCGCCCAGCACGGCTGCCTGCAAACGGGCGCGCCTCTTGTGCCCGGCGACCGCCTCCCGCCCGATCGGGTCGAAGGCATAGAGGTCGCCAGCGATAGCCTCTGGAAAGGCTTGTCCTCGCTCGAGCACCCGATGCCGCCGCTCATCCAAGTTGATCCTCTCGAGGTCCAGGTCGGGAGTAAGAGCGATCCAGACCGCATCTCGCACACGACGCAATAAGATGCGATGATGCCAAGTAAAGTTCGGATCGGCATCGTAGCGCACGGCAACCTGGAACTCAGGAATGTCCGGGCACCGCGGCACTGCTGCCATGCCTCGACGAGGGCGTCACAGGGCCTGCCGCTGGTCCCGACGTCAGTGCCAAGGCCGTCTGCCCGCCAGCTGGAGCAGCCGGCTCTGGGGCCGCAGCCGCCCGTGGCGCCGCCTGGGGCGCCGTCGCCGCTCCGCCTGGAGCACGGCGAAGGCGGGGCGACACCGCCAAGCCGACGGCCACCCCGGCCACGAAGACCACCAGCAGCGGCCAGGCCGGCGCTGAGGCCGGCGGCTCGGGCGCCCGAGCCTCGCAAGGCACCGGCGCCTGGCCCGGCGCCCCGCACGACAGGGAGCCGCACTCCACGTGCGGGCAGACCAGCGAGGGGCACGGAGGGCAGGATTGCAGGCTGCTGCTGAGGTGTAGGGAAAGGTGAGAGAGCTCTCGGAGGACCCCGCCGAGCTGAAGCAGGTCCATATGCGCTTGAGCATGTATGTCACGGACGATGCAAGCAGTCGTTCGGGACGCTCCTCGCCTCTCTGGAAAACAAATGTCACAGACAAAAATATGTATTTATATGTGTGTATATATATATATATATATATTGATCGGCCCCTGGGGGTCCGAACATGTCCATATCCACCGACTGCCGAGGCTCCGAAAACTGACCCTCCAGGCGGTGGTCATGTATACATTCCCGCCTCGATTTCGCTATTCACAGTTTGTGGGAAAGGCTGCCGCTGGGGAGCGGCCGAACAGGAGGCTGATCCGCCGCGGAGCAGGAGGCGACGATGAACAAGTTCGTCATCAACTACACCAGCGTGCACATCGATAACCTACAGAGGTCATCTCAACCAGTGCCAGGTTTAGAGGGAGGGAGGGAGGGAGGGAAGGAGGGAAGGATAGCAGGAGCAGGAGGAGGAGGAAGACGACGACGACGACGACGACGACGACGACGACGACGACGACGACGACGATTACGGCAACGAGGGCGGGGAGGACGACGGCGAGACCATCGGGAGAGGCCTCGGACGCCAGCAGCGAGGGCAGCAGCTGGCGGGGCACTGGACCCGAGGCGGCGGGGCAGCAGGGCGGCGGGTCAACTGGCGCGGGCTTCAACGTCGTCGCTGCCACCACTGCACCAGCTGTGCCGTCCCCGCCACGGTTTTCCCCGTCGCCACCGTCGCCGTCGTAGACGTAGTCGTTCTCGTCGTGCCAGCCGTCGTTAACGTGGTCGTAGGGTTCGTGGCCGCCGCCGTTGGGAGCGTCGTCCTCATCCTCCTCATCCCCTCACCTTCTTCCTCCCGTGATGACTCCCTTGTTCCCTCCCCTTCCCCTCCTCCTCCGCTTTCTCCTCCCCCGCTCATCCACTCTCCCCCCTGGTTCCCCACGCGCGAGACGGGGAGGGGAAAAGGGGGACGGGATGGAGATGAGGACGGGACATGGACACGGCGGGCTTGACAGGGGATGGGCGGGGACGGGACGGGGGCGGAGCGGGAGGGGGTGGAGGGGAAGGGCCCGGGGACTTCAAAACCTGAGAATCATAAAGTGGTGATGAGATCAGCAGCAATAATAAAACGTGCTGATTCTGGAGGACCGCGCGGATCGCGGATGAAGACGACGGTGGGGGCGATGACCAAGTCGATGCCCACCATCGATCTGGCCAGAACGATAGGACCGCTCTTTGGAATGTTCCCACCCACCCTAGGCACATCGGGACGGGCATCTCTGGAAAGTTCCCGAAGAGGCCTCTGGGAACGTCGGAGCGAACCTGTCCAACATGATCCCGCATGGGCCTCTGGGAACATCGGAATGGGCTTCTCCGGAGTACCATGATTTTGTGCTCCGATGTTGCATATATGACTCTCCCCAGAGTGGCACCCAAAAGCAAATCTCACTCCACGCTTCGTCGGCCCTCTGGCCTCTCGGCGGCCCGAGTTCTGAGAGACTCCTGTGACCCCTTGAACTCCCGTGCCCTCTTTCTGCCCCGTCAGGCATGGATCCGCGCACAACGAAGACCACGCCGACAGGCTCAGCCCCCTCACACCTCATGTCAATCCGCCCAGCGTCAGCGTCAGCAGCCCCCTCTCCACATTGACGTCGCTGACTCTGACCTGGACCATCTGACCAGGTTGATACTCGGCGGCTACCACCCCGCGCACCTGGGTGATCCTCGCCACAAAGGACATAATCCAATCCCTCCTACTTCTACCCCTCCTCCTTCCCCCATCTCCCTTCCCCTGCTTCGCTTACGCACTCCCTCGCTTAGCATGTCTCACTCGATCTTCCATGTCCCCCATCCTCCTCCTCCTCCTCCTCCTTCTCCTCCTCCTTCTCCTCCTCTTCCTCCTCCTCCTCCTCATCATCATCATCCTCAACACCACCACCATCACAACCACCATCATCACTACCAAAACCACCACCATCATCATCGTCATCATCATCCTCATCACCACCACCACCACCACCACCACCATCATCATCATCATCATCATCATCATCATCATCATCATCATCATCATCATCATCATCATCATCCTCATCCTCATCCTCATCCTCATCCTCATCCTCATCCTCATCCTCATCATCATCATCATCATAATCATCATCATCAGAGTCATCATCATCATAATCATCATCATAATTATCATCAGCAGCATCATCAGCATCGTCAAAATCAGCATCATCATCGTCGTCGTCATCAACATCATCATCATCATCATCATCATCATCATCATCATCATCATCATCATCATCATCATCATCCATCATCATCATCATCATCATCATCATCATCATCATCATCACCATTGTCATTATCATCGTCACCATCATCATCGTCGTCGTCGCCATCATCAGCATCATCGTCAGCGGCAGCAGCATCATCAACATCATCAGCATCATCATCATTCTCATCATTATCACCAGCATCATTATCATCAGCATCATCACCAGCATCATCAACATCATCGTCATCATCATCATAATCATCATCGCCATCATCATCATCATCATCATCATCATCATCATCATCATCATCATCATCATCATCATCATCGTCGTCGTCGCCATTAGCAGCACCATCATCAGCGGCAGCAGCAGCATCATCATCATCATCATCCTCATCATCATCGTCATCATCATCATCATGGTCATCATCATCATTATCGTCAGCATCGTCACCAGCATCATCAGCATCATCATCATCATCGTCATCATAATCATCACCACCGCCAACAACCTCACCATCACCACCACCATCATCATCATCAGCATCATCATCATCCTCATCCTCATGCTCGTTCTCGTTCTCGGCCTCCTCCCCTTCCTCTCCTCCTCCATCCCTTATAAACAGTTCCTTCCTGTCGCACCCCATAGACATGTCAGTAGGGCGGGCTGAGCGTTTCGCCTGAGACTTCCTCGCCATTTCTGATGCTGGCACTTGGAGGGGGGCCCGTTTTCAAGTTGTGGCTCTCGCCTCAGCGCCGCGCACATTCGTCTGAGAAGCTAGAACCATCTTCAAAGATGGAGGGCGGTTCCTTTTCAAGATATGGCCCCCGCCTTAGCGCCGCAAAAAACATTCGTCTTAACAATTTGCAGCAGTTTCGCGGGTGCGTATGGTTGAAGTCCCAGGCGCGGTGTTCTGGCATGATTTAGGATTGTCAGGACGCAGCAGTCACGCTGATTCGCGGTGTTGGAGTCCCAAGAATGGAGTTCAGTCCCGACGCAACAGTCGCGTCGATTCCCAGCATGGTCCAAGGAAGCGCGTTCTGGCACGATCGAGGGTTCTCAAACGGCTTTCTTCCAATGGGACACTTCCATCAATGAAGCCAAATTCCTGCAGGTACCTACAAAACAAGGAACTTGGAGGGAGTTTGTCTTTCAACATCGTTGATGCGTCTTGGGTGTACACAGGTTCTCCTCCTCCTCCTCCTCCTCCTCCTCCGCCTCCTCTTCCTCCTCCTCCTCCTCCTCATCATCATCCTCCTCCTCCCTCCCTCTCCTTCTCTTCCCCTCCTCCTCCCACCTGCTTCCCCTCTATTTCTTCTCGTTCCTCGTCCTCCTCCTCCTCCTTCTCCTTCTCCCGCGTGGGGGGTGAGGGAAGGGAGGGCACGAGGGAGGGAGTGGGCCACTGGCTTGGACTCATCGAGGGTTTGTTATCGAGCGCCTTGCCCTCCGCGGGCTCGCCGGCGTCCGTCGGGGGCGGCACGCTCACGAAGATGTGACTGTCGTCCAGGACGGCGACCACGAACGCGGGGAGCAGCGCCTCGGGCGGGACGCCAGCGAAGGCAGAGACGTCGGGCCTGTCGGGCACGCACTAACTAGAGGCATCCTGGATGGGGTCCGAGCAGATGGTGTCGGAGGATCGCGCCGCATCGGCGACGTCGGCGAGGCATCGGCGCCATCGGCGTGGAGAAAATCGGGCTCCGCATCGAGCCGCATCGGCGATGCGGTGCGATCCTCCGACCCCATCTACGCCGACCCCATCTAAGAGGCCTAGACTAACCCCGACCAGCACAAACTGGGGTCGGCCAGAGCCCTATCGCGAAGCCCAGCCGACCGCATAGTAGCTCCTAAACCTGAGTCGGCGGAGGGCGGAGAGGGGCAATCGACTCCATGGGGCTCCCAAGCCCGGGTCAGCCAGGAGGGACTGGCTGACCCCAGTCAGAGCTGATGCCCGTTGCGTGAACCCCGAGCCTGGGCTTCATGGAGAACACCGGCCCGAATCTGCCCGTGGCGTTGATAAGCCTGACGCGGACCGTGTCGCCCACTTCTGCCGCGCCCATGGCGCTCTGTACGGGGCCCGCTCGCAGCTCCCTGGACGGGACAATCCCGCTGGCGACTCCTGAGTCGTCGCCCGGAAGGCGGGCCTCCCAAGGAGGAGCACAAGGGGATCAGCAGGAGGAGGAGGAGGAGGAGGACGGGAAGGAGGAGGAGGACCAGCAACATGATGATGATGATGATGATGATGATGATGATGATGATGATGCTGATGCTGATGCTGATGCTGATGATGATGCCGATGATGATGACGACGAGGACGAGGATGAGGATGAGGACGATGATGATGAGGATGAGGATGAGGAGGATGATGATGATGATGATGAGGATGATGATGACGATGATGATGATGATGATGATGATGATGATGATGATGATGATGATACTGATGCTGATGCTGATGCTGATGAGGATGAGGATGGTGATGGTGATGGTGATGGTGATGATGATGATGATGATGATGAAGAAGAAGCTGACGATGACGATGATGATGATGATGATGATGATGATGATGATGATGATGATGATGGTGATGATGATGATGATGATGAAGCTGACGACGATGATGATGATGATGATGATGATGATGATGATGATGATGATGATGATGAGGAGGAGGAGGAGGAGGAGGAGGAGGAGGAGGAGGAGGAGGAGGGTCAGCAGAACGAGGAGCAGGAGGAACAGACCTGCACCTCCACTACACGGTCCGATACGTTGAAGACTGTGGCATCGATCCACTCGTCCGCGCCGAATTGCTCGAAGATTTCCAGGCTAGCCCTCATACTGAGATTCACTCTACCCGTGTCGCGGTCTAAGCCCGTCACCCTCACTCTGACGGTGTCGCCGACCTCGGCCACCGCGCTGATGTCTTGGACGAACCCGTATTTAATCTCCGAGATATGCACCAAGCCGTGATACGGCAGGGCATCTGGCTGGGAGCCTGGTGGCACGACCTGCGCGCGGAGCCCGAACTGCTCCACGCTCACGACAGTGGCGTTCAGCCAGAGGCCCTCAGCCCTGGCTCGCTCGAGGGCGTCGAGGTCGGGCGGGCCGCTCGTGGAGGAGTCCAGACTGGGCTTCATACTGAATTCCACTCTGCCCGAATCGCGGTCCAGCGTCATCACCTTCACGCTGACGGTGTCGCCGACCTCGGCCACAGTGCTGATGTCTTGGACGAACCCGTATTGAATCTCCGAGACGTGCACCAAGCCGTGATTCGGCAGGGCATCTGGCTGGGAGCCTGGTGGCACGACCTGCACGCGGAGCCCGTACTGCTCCACGCGCACGACGGTGGCGTTCAGCCAGAGACCCTCAGCCCTGGCTCGCTCGAGGGCGTCGAGGTCGGGCGGGCTGCCCGTGGAGGAGTCCAGACTGGGCTTCATACTGAACGCCACTCTGCCCGAATTTCGGTCCAGCGTCATCACCTTCACGCTGACGGTGTCGCCGACCTCGGCCACAGTGCTGATGTCTTGGACGAACCCCTTTCCAACCTCCGAGACGTGCACCAAGCCGTGATGCGGCAGGGCATCTGGCTGGGAGCCTGGTGGCACGACCTGCACGTGGAGTCCGTACTGCTCCACGCGCACGACGGTGGCGTTCAGCCGGAGGCCCTCGGCCCTGGCTCGCTCGAGGGCGTCGAGGTCGGGCGGGCCGCTCGTGGAGGAGTCCAGACTGGGCTTCATACTGAACGCCACTCTGCCCGAATCGAAGTCCACCTTCATCACCCTAACGCTAACGGTGTCGCCGACCTCGGCCACCGCGCTGATGTCGTGGACGAACCCGTATTGAATCTCCGAGACGTGCACCAAGCCGTGATTCGGCAGGGCATCTGGCTGGGAGCCTGGTGGCACGACCTGCACGCGGAGCCCGTACTGCTCCACGCGCACGACGGTGGCGTTCAGCCAGAGACCCTCAGCCCTGGCTCGCTCGAGGGCGTCGAGGTCGGGCGGGCTGCCCGTGGAGGAGTCCAGACTGGGCTTCATACTGAACGCCACTCTGCCCGAATCGAGGTCCACCTTCATCACCCTAACGCTGACGGTGTCGCCGACCTCGGCCACCGCGTTGATGTCTTGGACGAACCCGTATCGAATCTCCGAGACGTGCACCAAGCCGAGATGCGGCAGGGCATCTGGCTGGGAGCCTGGTGGCACGACCTGCACTTGGAGTCCGTACGGGTCCACGCGCACGACGGTGGCGTTCAGCCAGAGACCCTCAGCCCTGGCTCGCTCGAGGGCGTCGAGGTCGGGCGGGCCGCTCGTGGAGGAGTCCAGACTGGGCTTCATACTGAACGCCACTCTGCCCGAATCGAGGTCCAGCGTCATCACCCTCACTCTGACGGTGTCGCCGACCTCGGCCACAGTGCTGATGTCTTGGACGAACCCCTTTCCAACCTCCGAGACGTGCACCAGGCCGTAGTGCGGCAGGGCATCTGGCTGGGAGCCTGGTGGCACGACCTGCACGTGGAGTCCGTACTGCTCCACGCGCACGACGGTGGCATTCAGCCAGAGGCCCTCGGCCCTGGCTCGCTCGAGGGCGTCGAGGTCGGGCGGGCCGCCCATCCACATCTGGCGGATATCGCTGCTCTCTTCCCGAGCTCCAGCGTCGACCATCCGGACCCTCACGCTCTGACCGACGCTGTAATGGTCGGCCAGTCTGCCAGCGGCATGCTCGGCGGGGACCCTCGAAAAGTGTACCAGGCCCCGCACGTCGTCAGCGCTGCCGGGCCTGCGGGCGCCGACTACCATGAAGTTGGCATGGATGCGAAGCACGGTCGCGTCAAGCCAGGTCCCCGCCTGCCTCTCCTCCAGCGGCGCCTCTGGCGGTGGCCCGGCCATCTTCACCGCCCCCTCGACTTCGGCCTCTACAGTCAGCCCATACAACAAGGACGCACGATAAGGATGCAAGGGCCTTGAAAGGCCATGCCAACACTCTGTGAGCGGGGCGCGGCCAGTGAAAGCGGCCGAGGACGGGCCGAGGGGGAAGGATGCCAAGGTAACCTTGGAAAGCCGCTCATCCTTATTATGCGGGTCGACTGTAGCGCTTCTACTGGCACCCCGAGCTCTTCCTCCACCAGCGCTCCGAATTCCTCTTCCTCGGCGGCGGCCCTGTCCACGCCAAGAGCCTTCTCTGGTAAGGCCTCCTCGACTGGGGGCTCTTCTGGCAAGGCCACCCTGGCAGCCTCCGCCCGCAAAGGTACGCGCCACAAGTTGAGCGAGCAATGGTACTGGTAGCCGTCCTTGTCGAAACACACGGCCGCGCCACCGCTGCCGAGTTCGTGCTTCACGGCCGCGTCGTACCACTGCCCGTCCTCTTTGGAAGCCCGAAATGGGTATGGAAAAAATGTACACGACGTCCCACAAAATTGGTGATCCAAAGCCGACAGCGGCCGCGGTTGGGCAGGCGAGCTTGTGCCTGGAATGGACGACGTCCTCGGCGGCGCGGAGAGCGAGTCCTGCTCAAGACGAGCAGGGGCTGCTGCTGGGCATCGTGCCCCTTCTTGCCGTACCCGTTTCCATCGCGCCGATCCTCCCACCTGACCTGCACGCTGCCCCACGGCGATGTCGCCTTCGGGTGTTGCTGGAAGTGCCCCTGGCCCCTGGTGCCCCCAGGATTCTCGGGGTGGCCCAGACGGCCTCCAGAGCACCCTTAACGAGGCCCAGAGGGCTCCAGGGTTGGAGACCTGGAAATGGGCACCAACACCAACACAGGAGGTTGCCTCCAAAGGGGGAAGAAGATCCGAGATTTCGGCGTTGGTGGAAGTATTTCGGCCACCTTGGAAGCCAGAATATTACCAACATCACCGAGATCGGGATCGTCTTCCCTCGGTGGAGGCACACCGCCGAAATTGGTGTTGGTGTCAACCTCTAGGCCGGCGACAGGGGCCCAAGAGTGCAGCGAAAATCTCATTTCAGGGGCACTTCTAGCAACACCCGACGCCCGCGCGACTGGCGCTCCACTGGCGCGGCCGCCCCGCCCAGGCGGCACCAACGGCGCTGCGCCCCCGCGGCCTCCCGCCAGCGCCGCCCGCAGGGGCGCCGCGGCGAGCGCGGCGGCGAGGGCCAGCAGCGCCCCCCACCGCAGCGGGCGGGCGGCCCGCGCGGGGCGCCGACGAGAGCGCCCGCCGGCGGCGCCCGCCGCGCGCGGGCCGCGCCACGGCATCGTCGCGGGAGGGGGGGGAGGGGGGGGGAGGGGGGGGGAAGGGGAGGGGAGGAATGGGGGGTGAGGAATGGGGAGAGGGGCCAGGAGGGAGGACGAACGAGGAGGGAGGAGGGAGGAGGAAGGAGGGAGGAGGAGGAGGAGGAGGGGGCAGGCGGAAAGGGGAAGTGGAAAGGCGACGGAGCGGGGGGGAAGGAAGAGGAATACGAGGAGGGGGAGAACAAAAGGGGAGGGGGAGGTGTAGGATCTGAGGAGGAGCGAGAGGAAAGAAAGGAGAGGAGAAGAGTTAGAGTGCTGCAGCACATCCAAGATGCATCGGCGATGCTGCCAGACACCCTCTTGTTCAAAGTTTCCTCCTCGGAGGTCCCTACCATCATCCTTAGCCGCTGCGGGAAACGTTTCCTTGAACGACGAGTGCCCTGTGGCCAGTCTGCGAGAGCCCAGAAAAAAAAAACCTCCGCCCGTCCGACCGTTTCAATAAGCGATGGGTAGTCATCTGTTCTGGGTTGCGGCGCTGGCGAGTGCGCGGCGAGGTCGGACCTTAAGCTGGACGCAAAAAAGGCAAAGTGGTATACAAAAACCGTCGAGGAACTGTGCTTAGGAGGTGCCTGCTGGCAGCCAAGGAAAGGCAAGTTTGGGGCACCTGCAGGCTACCCAGGAAAATTGCTTGGCGGTACCTGCGGGCAGCACAAGAGAGGTACTCGTGATGCGCTCGCGGGCAACCCAGGAAAGGTGCTTGGCGGCACACGAGGACTGGCGAGGGGGGGTAGATTAGTCCCTGCGTTGCGCGCCATCCTCCCCACCTCTCGGCCTGCGCGCAAGAGCACGAGCCTCCACGTCAGCAGGCCGCCTGCTCAGTGGCCCACGCCGAACACGCCGACGGGGGCGACGGGGCGCGATGGGGAGAGGAGGAGGAGGAGGAGGAGGAGGAGGAGGAGGAGGAGGAGGAGGAGGACGAGGAGGAGGAGGAGAAGGAGGAGGAGGCCGTGTTGTCACCCTGACAATGTCGATGCCCTCTCGGCACCAAGTTGCCTCAGACAAGCAGCGAAGCTAGGCACTCCCCCCTAACCCCGGCCGATGCCCCGCCTCCCCTCTCCGCCAGCTGAAAGACACGGTCCGCACTGGTGCGGCTCAGGCACCAGGGCTGCCGGAGCCAAGCAGGCCGCTCAGGACTGACAACGGCTTGGGAATGCTCTGGAGGGCATCCAGCACTGGGTCCAGCACCGGGGAGAGGGCCTTGCCAACGAACCTCAGCGTCATAAGGATGAACACAAAGCCTATGGTCACGACAACGAAGAAGTAGCTGGGGCCGAGGCCCACGGCCCTGAAGCTGTCTATGACGGTGGCCGTGCGGTCCAGAGACTCCAGGTCCTCGCCGCCGAGCCCGTATGCCTCGCACGTAAGAAGCCCAGGGTTCTTCTTCACCACGCTGAGGGCGGTGCACCCGCTCGGCTTCTCCTTCCCCTCGAGCAGCTCCCAGGCTCTTGCCACATAGTCCTTCTCGAAGAGCAGAACGCGCACGTCCTTCTCCGCGATATCCAGGGCAGCCTCGGGGCCCAGCAGCGTCTCGAGGCCCTGAAAGCGCTCCGTCACGGCCGGCTCGTCCAGGGACAGCCCGATGAAGGAACCCCTGGTTACTGCCTCTGGGTAATTACTCCGCCGCCAGCGCGCCGTACGCGCGCTCGGCGGGCGTGGGCTGCCGCGTGCCCGCGGGCACCACGGGCCGCGGCACCGCCCTCGCGGCAGGGGCGCTCGCGCCGCACCGCACCACGAACAGTCGCGCCGCCGCCGTGCATGCCACCGCCGCGGCGACCGCCAGCGGGAGGCACCTGCGCCGGCGGCGCCTGGCGCCCAGCGGCCTCACGGCGCACCCGTGCCCCGCGCCCGCGCGGAGCCGTGCCTCCACGGCCAGGCCGGCCATGCGGGGCGCGGCCGCGGAGCGGCGGCGGGTGCTCGCCGGCGGCCGACGCTCGGCGGGCGCAAAGGGCTTGAGCAAAAATGGCAACGGAGAGGGAGGAGGAGGAGGAGGAGGAGGAGGAGGAGGAGGAGGAGGAGGAGGAGGTGGTGAAGCAGGAGGAGCATGAGCAGGAGGAGGAGCAGAAGGAGGAGGAGGAGAAGCAGGGAGGGCGAGGAGGTGGAGAGGAGGAGGACGACGACGAGGAGCAGAAGGAGGA